TGTATTCCGTTGCTCCTACTGTTGGCTTCCCCAATGCACGCTCGTGGTGCTACAGATATACATTTATCTATATCCCTTAACAGATTAACAAAGGTATTTACCCCATAGATGTCTTTGTGCTGATAGATATCTTTCAGAAAACTAAGTTAATATTCATTCTCAGAAATATATTCAAAGCACAAAGGTGCAAAGAACAACTTATCTAGTGCCAACTTGAACCTATTTAGAAGTTCCCCATTGCTGACCTTGCCAACATCAATTCTTCTAGCAGAGAGGAAGACAGTTTCTCCAATTTATAGGGCATAAAGAATTTCTATAATTTGTAGCAAACATATACGTATAACTCTTAATTTAACTAATTCCATTAGTTTAATTACCCTAAAGCTTCAATGCATATTTTTGTACAATTATGAGGATAGTATCTTAGTTATCTCTATTAATCATCATTTTATATCCATAATTTATCACAGGAGGATTTCTACAGGTCATTCGATTTATTAGTTTGATTAAAATCTAATGTTGACTCATAAGTTACATGGCAACGAGAAAATTTTGAAAAATTGAGTAAAATTGACTCAAAATTTTACACAAACTGAATAATATTGATCGTCTGGTTCGGATCTTGTGGTGTGATCCTTTTTGTGACCCTCTTGTGGTCTGTTTGGGTCAATACAAGTTTTCAAAATTATTATCCTGAATTATTATCCAAAATTCTTCTTCTGAGGGAAGGTATTGATTAATACTTGTCATGAATCTGTGTACATTTATTACATAATGTATTGATCATCACAAGAAAATTTACAGGGAAATAGCTGTTTATTATGTAGTGATATTATTCTGAAGATTTAATCCTTGGGACAGAGCAATAAGATGTGCAGTATTCTTGTAGATATATCTATCATCACAAGGATATCCTCAGGAAAGATATCTGGTTGGATGGTATTACTCAAGGTGAGTATTGCCGGAACAACCGTGGACATCTTCAAAAGAAAACTGGACTGTTTTCTAAGAGAAGTTCCGGATCAGCCGGGCTGTGGTGGGTATGTGGGCCTGCGGGGCCGCTCCAAGCAACAGCCTGGTGGACCAAACTCTCACAAGTCGAGCCTGGCCTCGGGCCGGGCTTGGGGAGTAGAAGAACTCCCAGAACCCCATCAACCAGGTACTCCAGACTCTTGGGTCGTGAGTTCGAAGTTCCGATGGTGCAAGTGAATGAAATTGACCAGACCACACACACTAGAAGATGAAGGGACGACGACGTTTCGGTCCGTCCAGGACCATTCACAATAGACTTGAGAATGGTCCAGGACGGACCGAAACGTCGTCGTCCCTTCACCTTCTAGTGTGTGGTCTGGTCAACTTACTCTAGCCACGTTATTGTGACTCATCGCCTGCAAGTGAATGAAATATTATTTGCAGTATCTATCACCATAAGAATAACTACAGGGAAATATATCTATTTGGTGATATCTTGTATAATATTGGTCCTTGTAGCATAAGTGCTCAATCAAAGCCTTCCCTGTTTCTCTATGGGTTGCTCGTAGTCCCTTGTAATGTGCTTGTCCAAGGTGTGTGTGTATGCTTGTCCAAGCAACGATCCTCCCCTATACAGAGGGCCTAAATTGAAAAATACTTTAATTTAAGAACATAAGAATAAAGGTAACAGCAGAAGGCCTATTGGCCCATACGAGGCAGCTCCTATTTATAACCACCCAATCCTACTCATATACATGTCCAACCCAAGTTTGAAACAATCAAGGGTCCACACCTCCGCCACGCTATGCGGTAATTGGTTCACAATTCATCACCCTGTTACCGAACCAGTATTTACCCAGGTCATTTAAAAAAAAACATGTTTTTAGGTTTCGCTATTTTGTGTATTTTCGTTTTGTCTGGAAGTTAGTAGTTCTTAGAGTTCGTGGATGAAGCTTTTAGTGAGACGCGCTTCGAACACAGGAAGTGAATAATACGTTTCTTGTCAAACGTTCGAATTAAATAAAATGTGAAACATACATTACATGTTTTTCAACCATACACAGAGAAGAGGCCGGTTGTATTAACGAGTATTTGACCAATATTTTCAGGAAAGGAAGAATTTAAACTGTCAAATATAAGAGATAGTGGTTATTCATTATTAGACTTAGTGGTTTAATATTGCTTTCTCCTCACGATCCAACCAGTTCTCTGTATTCATCACCCCGTGAAAATTAACTGTTTTGCCTAACCAGAATAGACGAACCCCCCCCCCCCTCCCATCTAACCAACTGAGACCCCAATGCATAGAAAACGTCGTCGATAATACTGTGCTTTAACTATGACCAATACGTCGCGTTTATAACGAATTGGTCGAACATGTAAAATAATTTAAAATGTTTCAGCTGAGAGGATAGGGAGGAGGGTTGCATACTTAAAAAAATTCCTTGAAATATCTCAACAAGACGCTCTCCTGCAGCCTTACAAGGAGCAACCGAGGCTCCTTGATGCACTAAATTATTAATTAAAATATATACTTTTTTTTTGAGGGGAGGGATCTTAGACAGTGAGACGGAAGGCATTGTAAACCTGAATTTCCTCTCTCTGTGTCTTGAAGATTTAGACGAAAACGTTATTTTTACCATAATGTGACAAGTTTGTAAGCTGGGATGTGGGATATGTCTCTAAGCTGAGATATGGGATAGGTCTCTAAGCTGAGATATGGCATAGATCTCTAAGTTGGGATGTGGGATAGGTCTCTAAGCTGGGAAATGGGACAGGACTGGAAGCTGAAATGTGGAACAGGTCTGGAAGCTGGAAAGTGAGACAGATCAGGGAGCTGGGAAGTGGGACAGATCAGGGAGCTGGGAAGTGGGATAGCTCAAGGGGGTGGCTAGGAGAGAGAGAGAGTAGCTAGGAGGTACTGGGTGGTGGACGGGAGCGCTCGGAGAGGCAGGTAAGGTCCGAGCCCCTAACCCCCCCCTCTCCCCTGAAACGTTCGATCCAGGACTAAAAATAGCCAGCTACTACGCTAGCAGGGGGGGGGGGGGGGATGGGGGTGAGCCCCTACGAGTACATTTCACTGTATTGCTGCAACTGGGGCCATACTTTCCTCTGCCATGTAAACATAGCTTCGTTGCCATGTAAACATAGCCTCGTTGCCATGTAAACATAGCTTCGTTGCCATGTAAACATAGCCTCGTTGCCATGTAAACATAGCCTCGTTGCCATGTAAACATAGTCTCGTTGCCATGCAAACATAGTCTCGTTGCCATGTAAACATAGTCTCGTTGCCATGTAAACATAGCCTCGTTGCCATGTAAACATAGCCTCGTTGCCATGTAAACATATCCTCATTGCCATGTAAACATAGCCTCGTTGCCATGTAAACATAACCTCGTTGCCATGTAAACATAGCCTCGTTGCCATGTAAACATAACCTCGTTGCCATGTAAACATAGCCTCGTTGCCATGTAAACATAACCTCGTTGCCATGTAAACATAGCCTCGTTGCCATGTAAACATAGCCTCGTTGCCATGTAAACATAGCCTCGTTGCCATGTAAACATAGCCTCGTTGCCATGTAAACATAGCCTCGTTGCCATGTAAACATAGCCTCGTTGCCATGTAAACATAGCCTCGTTGCCATGTAAACATAGCCTCGTTGCCATGTAAACATAGCCTCATTGCCATGTAAACATAGCCTCGTTGCCATGTAAACATAACCTCGTTGCCATGTAAACATAGCCTCGTTGCCATGTAAACATAGCCTCGTTGCCATGTAAACATAGCCTCGTTGCCATGTAAACATTGCCTCGTTGCCATGTAAACATAGCCTCGTTGCCATGTAAACATTGCCTCGTTGCCATGTAAACATAGCCTCGTTGCCATGTAAACATAGCCTCGTTGCCATGTAAACATAGCCTCGTTGCCATGTAAACATAGCCTCGTTGCCATGTAAACATAGTCTCGTTGCCATGTAAACATAGTCTCGTTGCCATGTAAACAGCCTCGTTGCCATGTAAACATAGTCTCGTTGCCATGTAAACATAGCCTCGTTGCCAATGTAAACATAGCCTCGTTGCCATGTAAACATAGCCTCGTTGCCATGTAAACATAGCCTCGTTGCCATGTAAACATAGTCTCGTTGCCATGTAAACATAGCCTCGTTGCCATGTAAACATAGCCTCGTTGCCATGTAAACATAGCCTCGTTGCCATGTAAACATAGCCTCGTTGCCATGTAAACATAGCCTCGTTGCCATGTAAACATAGCCTCGTTGCCATGTAAACATAGCCTCGTTGCCATGTAAACATAGCCTCGTTGCCCTGTAAACATAGCCTCGTTGCCATGTAAACATAGTCTCGTTGCCATGTAAACATAGTCTCGTTGCCATGTAAACATAGCCTCATTGCCATGGGTCTTGTAGCACAGTGGGCTATGCCCTCGGCTCACGATCGAGGGACCCGAATAAATTCCCAGTTGGGACAGAGAGCGCTGGCCACATTTCCTTTCACCTGATGCTTCTATTCACTTAGTAGAAACGACAGGTACCCTGCAATTAGGCAACTGCTGTAGGCCTAGAGAGGGTGGGCCTAGATACCTGCCTGTAGGTAAACATGTGAGGACCTGCCACCTACAATCGGAATTTAATTAACAATTACAAATACTAGTTTGAGGCTCTTCAACCATTAAATTGGAAGAGGGGTAAAGTGGATGTATCACCAACTGCTTTTATAACTAACCAATTACGCCCCATTTATAGATGAAATGGTCCCTATTAACTGGGTAATATATGCAGTATGATGAATAGCTTCATGATTGTTTCTACTGTATGGTGTCATTGTATGTTGACCGACGTGCACTGTAGCTTATAATATATCTTGGATATAAGACACACATGCCTTGAATGAGGCCATCTGTGTGTACCTTAGGTGGTTCTATGTGCACTTTGGGTGGTTCTATGTGCACTTTGGGTGGTTCTATGTTCACTTTGGGTGGTTCTATGTGCACTTTGGGTGGTTCTAAGTTCACTTTGCTATGTGCACTTTGGGTGGTTCTATGTGCACTTTGGGTGGTTCTATGTGCACTTTGGGTGGTTCTATGTGCACTTTGGGTGGTTCTATGTGCACTTTGGGTGGTTCTATGTTCACTTTGGGTGGTTCTATGTGCACTTTGGGTGGTTCTATGTTCACTTTGGGTGGTTCTATGTGCACCTTGGGTGGTTCTATGTTCACTTTGGGTGGTTCTATGTGCACCTTGGGTGGTTCTATGTTCACTTTGGGTGGTTCTATGTGCACTTTGGGTGGTTCTATGTTCACTTTGGGTGGTTCTATGTTCACTTTGGGTGGTTCTATGTGCACTTTGGGTGGTTCTATGTGCACTTTGGGTGGTTCTATGTTCACTTTGGGTGGTTCTATGTGCACCTTGGGTGGTTCTATGTTCACTTTGGGTGGTTCTATGTGCACTTTGGGTGGTTCTATATTCACTTTGGGTGGTTCTATGTGCACTTTGGGTGGTTCTATGTTCACTTTGGGTGGTTCTATGTTCACTTTGGGTGGTTCTATATGCACTTTGGGTGGTTCTATATTCACTTTGGGTGGTTCTATGTGCACTTTGGGTGGTTCTATGTTCACTTTGGGTGGTTCTATGTTCACTTTGGGTGGTTCTATGTGCACTTTGGGTGGTTCTATGTGCACTTTGGGTGGTTCTATGTGCACTTTGGGTGGTTCTGTGTTCACTTTGGGTGGTTCTATGTGCACTTTGGGTGGTTCTGTGTTCACTTTGGGTGGTTCTGTGTTCACTTTGGGTGGTTCTGTGTTCAGTTTGGGTGGTTCTATGTGCACCTTGGGTGGTTCTATGTGCACCTTGGGTGGTTCTATGTGCACTTTGGGTGGTTCTGTGTGCCCCGGGGATGGATCTGTGGGCAACCAGCCGCGTCCAACAGCCTGGTTGATCAGTCCAGCAACCAGAAGGCCTGGTCGACGACCGGGCCGCTGGGACGCTAAGCCCCGGAAACACCTCAAGGTAACCTCAAGGTAAGGTAACCCTGGGTGTAGCAACCAAGGTGAAGATGTGTCACAGGTACGACACAGTGCCACAAGCAGGATGCTGTGTCACCAGTGCCATGTGCTCGGCTCACTGCTACAAGAGCTGATCTTTGCCCCCCCCCTGTTGTATTCCGTTACAATACAACAGGCCAAAGCATTACGTAACAGAGTTGTTTCGTAATACAGCATTGTATCATGTAACAACGTAATACAACGCTGTAACAGCAATATTATCACCACTGTATAACGCAAAGTAACGCTGTAACAACCTAATACAACCATGTAACAGCCTAATACAGCATTTTAACACCCCTAACATTATGTTATAACAACCTAATACATCGTTGTAGCACCGTAGTACAATGTTGTTACACAAACGTTAACAAAAGTTATAGTTCCGTTGTGTGTTTGAGAAATATGTCGGAAATACGAGATGAAATCAAACTTATAACATGTCCCAGTGGAAGATGGGAATGAGGGAGAGAGAAAACGTCCTCAAAACGTTCCCCAGTGGAAGATGGGAATGAGGGAGAGAGAAAACGTACTCATATTTTTTTTATGAGAGATGCTATATAACATTTCATTGAGTTTTTTTATAAGGAGCTCTGGAGCTCAGATCCTGGTTGGGGCTCGACGCTTGACAACATTCTTTGGCGAATATTACTTGGTCAAGAAGACACCAATCTGAAGACCAGAGATGCAAGAGTTCCACTACATCAAGAAGATACAACTAATCTGAGGAAATAAACTTATCCAATTAAGAAAAGGATCCCCCAAAAATAAGTTAACACACTGAGCCGAGGTTCAGTCAAGGCCAAATTGATTACTGGGGATTGAAGATGAAATTACAGTTAATTCTCTTACAGTAATTGACTGTGTCCAGCGCTCAGTCTGAGTAGATAAGCAGTAGCTTAAACCCAACTGCCACAACCCGAACGATAAGGTCATTATCAGGAGAGAGCCCTAAGCCAGGATGTAAGGATAGGGATTTGGGATAGGATGGAAGAAAGTAATAGTGCCCAACCATTTGGAACATCAGGGGATTGAACTCCGACCTGCAAGAAGCGAGAATGTTACTCTGCCGCTAACGAAATTTGCAGATCTGTCAACAATCATAGCGGCGTTGTTCATATTATTTATTAAACTGTTTATGGGCTCCGAAACACAACTTAGGTTGTTCCTAACGATAAAATCCACGGATTGGGAAGTTTTGAAGATTGTAAACTGATTAACAAATGTAAATTAATCCGCCCTGACTTGAAAGATGTAGTGTCTTCGTAGACCAATGGATGCATTGCCAAGTGGGCCATTTTGGCCTTAGAGGCAACAGGGAAAAAGGTGAGAATCTTGCAGAATGCAGAGGAAGCGGGGCGAGGTTGTACTGTCCATGGCCCTGTCGTTTGACGGGAAAGTGGTTGTGGATAGGGCCGTCCAATGTCCAGCAGATCCCTACCCATCCTCAGGCTATGGTTGTCCAAGCTAAAAATCGTTAATTTCACATATATAACACACATGAAACACAATAAAGTGATGCATCAAATGAACAAATCCACAAGCTACAAGCAGTCGATTAAGGCAGCGTCTGGGATGCTCTCGAACGCAGGTTCGAATCCTCGTCACGGCCCTTGTGGATTCGTTCACATACATAAAATAATTTTTTTATATTTTAGAATTTTGTGTAGAGTTAGACCTTGCTTAAGTTTGGGTAGATGTTCAGGTTCTGTTGATGGTTATTTGTTTCTGAAGTACGTGAGTGAAGCGTTTACAGAGCTGCGATTCGAACACAGGATTTCGAACACAAAGCACTGTTCGAAAAAAAATTGATCGTAATCACTTAAGAGTCAGAGGGTGAGTGAAGCACTAATAGAGGTTTACTTCGAACATATGAAGTGAGTGAAGCCCTTACAGAGGTTTACTTCGAACATATGAAGTGAGTGAAGCCCTTACAGAGGTTTACTTCGAACATATGAAGTGAGTGAAGCCCTTACAGAGGTTTACTTAGAACATACTAACCGAAAGAGGTGTATTTCGAACACAGAAATACTGGGTGAGTGAATATAAAGTGAGTGAATATATATATATATAAAGTGAGTGAAACTCGTGGAGAGGAATACTTTGAGCATAATAAGGGAGTGGGAGTGTAAAATCATACCCATTAACTCAACTCTCGGCGCCACACCCATATACTCACCTTATCACTGGTGAGTACGCGTCACACCCATCCAATTCCTCAGCGTCAACCCTCCCCCCTTCCCCCCCCCCCTTACCAATCAGTACTCTGCATCACACTCAGCCACTCAGACCTCAACCCTTCAACGCCAGGCACCAAACTGGCATTTAACTGACTCTAACCTTGCCTCCGCCAAGCCTGCCCTGACCTAACTGACCCCAGACGGTCAGTCTTGACCATACCCAAGCCCCAGCTGGCCCTGACCTTCCCTCACCTCTCGACTCTAGCCGAGCCTGGCGGACCCCTGACCTAACCCCCCACCACCACTCCACAATCAATAATTCTGGGGATGTTGCAGTCCCTCATTACCATCCGGCGTGTGGCTGTCCGTCGCGCGCAGTTTGGGGGATGGTGTAAGTATGTGTTTTCTCACGATTTGTAGTTAAGTTCGAGGTACTTCCTGTTTCATTAAGTTCAAATGATGCAGGGACCCGTTATAATTTGATGGTGCATCGGTTGCATGCTGTTGCAGCCCCAGACAGGTGATCTTTCCCTACTCCCCCGTCTACCCCCCCCCCCCGTCTACCCCCCTTCTCTACCCACCCCAGAGTCGGGTACGTGGCTTTGAAGTTGTCAGTTGACGGTGATTTAATGTTGCTGGTGCGTGCTTTACCCTTCCCTGTCGGGGGGACAGGCCCGTCAGAGCCTCTTCTTGATTCAGTGTCATGAACGTTGCTTCAGTGTTAACCTTAATGTCATTTGTCCATAGATGCTCGAGGAGGGGGGAGGGAGAGAGGGAGGGAGGGGGTGGGGGAGGTGTTATCATTGACACAGACTGACCGAGAGACTATGAGACAGAGACTGACTCAGACTGACTGACACAGACTGACCCCTGGCGTAAACAGGACGTTGCGAACTGTCAAAAAACAAATGCTGTTGAACAGTGACTAACACGAGGTATAATCTGGAGCAGAGAGAGACAAAGAGTTAGAACAGAACTGATCATATATAAGAACATAAGAACATAAGAACAAAGGTAACTGCAGAAGGCCTATTGGCCCATACGAGGCAGCTCCTATTCTATAACCACCCAATCCCACTCATATACTTGTCCAACCCGTGCTTGAAACAATCGAGGGACCCCACCTCCACAATGTTACGCGGCAATTGGTTCCACAAATCAACAACCCTGTTACTGAACCAGTATTTACCCAAGTCTTTCCTAAATCTAAACTTATCCAATTTATACCCATTGTTTCGTGTTCTGTCCTGTGTTGATACTTTTAATACCCTATTAATATCCCCCCGGTTATGTCCATTCACCCACTTGTAAACCTCTATCATGTCACCCCTAACTCTTCGCCTTTCCAGTGAATGCAACTTAAGCTTTGTTAATCTTTCTTCATATGAAAGATTTCTAATTTGGGGAATTAACTTAGTCATCCTACGCTGGACACGTTCAAGTGAATTTATATCCATTCTATAATATGGCGACCAAAACTGAACTGCATAATCTAAATGGGGCCTAACTAGAGCAAGATATAGCTTGAGAACCACACCAGGTGTCTTGTTACTAACGCTGCGATTAATAAATCCAAGTGTCCGATTTGCCTTATTACGAACATTTATGCATTGATCCTTTTGTTTTAAATTCTTACTAATCATAACTCCCAGATCCCTTTCGCAATCCGACTTCGCAATCACAACACCATCTAGCTCGTATCTTGTAACTCTATCATCATTACCTAACCTCAGAACTTTACATTTATCAGTATTAAACTGCATCTGCCAATCCTTTGACCATTTCAAAACCCTATCTAGATCAACTTGAAGTGATAGTGAGTCCTCCTCCGAATTAATTTCCCTACCGATTTTCGTATCATCGGCAAATTTGCAAATGTTGCTACTCAAACCTGAATCTAAATCATTTATATATATTATAAACAACAGAGGTCCCAGGACAGAGCCTTGAGGCACTCCACTTACAACATTTTCCCACTCTGACTTGATTCCATTTATACTAACTCTCTGTTTCCTTTGGTATAGCCATGCCCTAATCCAGCTTAATATAGCACCCCCAATACCATGAGACTCTACCTTTTTAATCAGTCTTTCATGTGGCACTGTATCAAAAGCTTTGCTAAAGTCAAGGTATACAACATCGCAATCCTTACCACTATCAACTGCCTCAACAATGCTAGAATAAAAAGATAACAAATTTGTTAAACATGAACGGCCATTTATAAAACCATGTTGCGACTCAATTATTAATTTATGTTTTTCAAGATGAAGACGAATTTTATTTGCTATTATAGATTCGAGTAACTTTCCCACAATAGACGTTAGGCTAATTGGTCGATAGTTAGACGCAAGTGATCTATCTCCTTTCTTAAAAACTGGTATCACATTAGCAACTTTCCAAAACTCTGGCACTCTGCCTGACTCTATTGATTTATTAAATATGGTTGACAGTGGGTCACAAAGCTCCTCTTTGCATTGTTTAAGCACCCGGGCAAACACTTCATCCGGCCCTGGGGATTTGTTTGGTTTGAGTTTTACTATTTGTTTAAGAACATCCTCCCTGGTAACTGCTAAACTCGTCAACCTGTCTTCGTCCCCACCCACATAGACTTGTTCGGGTGAAGGCATATTGTTAAGTTCCTCTTTAGTAAATACAGATACAAAATATTTATTAAAAAT